GTTGAAGCCCATTGGGCAGCTATAGAAGAGTCATTCTTAAATTAGTCGAAACTTATGCTTAACGTCGTTATCTTGGTAGAATTTTAATGTTTCCAAAATATCAAACTTGTCCGCAATTTTCTTCAAACTTTCTTTCAATATCCTTAAATGTCCCTACTTATTTAAAATGCCATTCATAAACATCAGTCTTTCGATCCTATTGGCTCCAATGCCATGCCAACAGAAACTATAACATGATCATTGCCATTATCGCTGTTAGCTGTTGTTACAAGGACGTAATAGGAAGCTGATACTAGAATTTGTTAGGGAAGGCAGGAAATTTTTTGTTTTTTTCCTTTTTTTTTATATTTTAATATGTAGCCTATAGCCTGTGTTGCTAGTGCTCAATGTCTTTTTTTTTAGTCTAAGAATTCAATTCATTAGTCTAAAATTAAAATAATAATAATAATAATAAATTTTTATGGTTGGACAATGGACTAGGTTTATTTTTTGACCCAATATTAATGAGAGTCACTGTGGGTGCTTACTAATCAAGTCTTTCATAAATGAAAATAAATCTAGTGCTAAAGAATATTATAACACATTTCAAGACATTTGAAGACGTGAGCGAAGTGTAAAAAAATAAGAAGAAAGACATAAGCAGATTACTAATAGAAGTATGAAGCTCGGGTGCGCGACCTATTTTTTCCTTCTTAAATCCCATTTTTTTAATGATTTAAGAAATTTGAATGTTTTTAAGAAATTTTTTTTAATTATAGAGTTTCATGTGGAAAAATGGATAAAAATTTAAATGAAAAACTTGCGGACTTGCGGCTAGAGATGGGAAGCAAGATTGAAGTGAACACAAAGTTACAGTATGAATCAAATGAAGAAATAAAAGAAGGACGATTTCAAAATCCACCAATTTCTAACGATTATTCGGTTCTAGTTCCAAAGGTATATCTGTCCAGTTTACCAATGAATTAAGAGAGATGGGAAGTTATTGGCGAAACTGAGAAAAATGTAGTCGTCCTTTTTATGGTTGTTTCAATTTCATGTCCATTAAGGACCTGACTGAAAGCAGATGGCAGTTCTGCAAAAAAAATGCAACGGCGTATTGGAAATCTACAATAGGTGGAAAAAATTATTATAAATGTTTAAAGGCGTTTTCATCTAAATGACGCCTCACACGCTTTGTCAGGATATTTTTCTTTTAACTTTTTCCGAAATGAGTCTGCTTGACTTACGAGGTAATAGTATTAGCGTTAAACTAAGTAAACTAGATTAAAAACTTGACATGATATTAAGAATCAAGTCGATTTACACGAATTTATTTTCTATTTTTACATTTTCATTATAGAATTTCAAAATTACACCTTTAAAGCAGATTCTCTTACAAGAAAAGTCCATTTTCGTGACGATAGCTAGGAGGCGAAGAAATTTATTTTATTAAAGCTTCATAATAAATTATAAGAAAATAGGGACAAACGCGAATGTTTACAGGATTCATCTGCAAGATCAGTTGAAAGAGTGCCTTTGTTAATTAGTAAGGCGCTTAACAAACGTTAATAATATCGGATTTTGTGTCTATCCAGTTAGGCACTCCTTGCATGTCATTGGAAAAGCATAACGTTGGCATATAAATTTTAAATCGACAATTTTGAATGAAATTTGAAAATGGATTTGATCTCTCTGTAAACTGTAACCGTGTCTAAAAACCATAAAATCTCCGCCTTACATTTTAACGCAGATATTGACTGAAACCTTTATAGAAATATTTACAGCAGCCATCTAATAAATCATAAAAAATAGAATAGGTCTTATTAGTACAAAAATATAACCGAAAGGACTAATATTTACTTACTTACTTATTTATAAGCCGTAAAATGTGTTGATATGGTACGATACTTACATAACCGACAAAACATCTGACAAAGGATTAGCATATAAAATTTTTGATATTTTTTTGTTTTTTACTTTTCCAGAATGCTGAAGCAGACGAAGAAATAAAGACAAAAACGACAGTAGAGCAGAACAAAAAAGATAATAATAATATGGAGAAAAAATTTGAAAAAAATTTTAAGCTGATACCCTTCGTTAGCTTTATTAGGCGTCAGCAGTCTTTATTTCCAACAACATTTGGACTTTATTTTAATCATAACGAGGAAGAATTTATTACTCAAGATATGAAAATCGAAACAAATCAATTTGGAAATACTTTTCAATATCATCCGAGTACTAAAGGCAAAGAGGATTTTCACGGTCGCTACATAAAATATTTTATAAGAAAGCATTTAGCAAATAAATATGATGTGGAACTAGTAGATCGTTTTGCAGAACACGTGATTGAATATCCTGAAAACTATCAAACGGCTAAAAACCCTAAGTTAAAAGAAGCCATTAAGAAACATTATAAAATATATACGGACAAAAATACAACAGCCATTGATATTCGCTATAGTATTAAAGTTGTTTCGCTTTCGCGATCTATATTCGGTGAAAGAGTAGTACCGAGAAAAGAATTTCACACTTATTATGAGAACTTATTGGCTATCGTAAAATATTTGGATAGTTTAACATATAACACAATGGAGATGTATCCCGAACTCAACTGTGAATATTTTCAAGCTCAATCAGTTATTCTATTCGATGGCGACGTTGCGTTTGAAATTATGGTTTCCAAGTATGATTTAAGTGCCAAAAGGGTCAAATACAATCAAAAAATTATCCAATCAATTTTACATTCGCTTTCCTATTACAAACGAACTGGTAAAAAAATTCGTAAGCTTGTTATCTACAATCCCCTCTTGGGTGAGGAACATGTTGTGGAATTGAAAGATATTGATTTTGAGTTACTTGAAGAAGCTTTAGATAAAGATCTAACGGCCTTTCAATCAAACCGTTTGCATAATAATAATAACTATTTTAGAATATTGTATTAATTTTGAAACAATTTCACTTTAATTATATACGTTTTGTCTTTTTGTTACTTTGGTTGTCTTATAATAGATATTAATGGCTATGTTTATGTTTTTAGTAGGGTAAAGTACACTACATCGGCGATAACTAAATGGCAATATATGCTCAGAAATTTAAGAACGTGACCGAATGAAGAGCTGAAATTCATTGTTCGAACTTCTTCAAAAGAAAATGTTTTTACGTTTTCTTATAGTCCTCTCCTTTCCAAATTTAAAAAATAGGAACTTATATTATTTAAACTGCAACTTAAAAAAAACGAAAGGAATAATGAAAAGATTTTTAGTTTCCAACAATTTCTTATTCCATTTAAAAAAAAAATTCTACACAACTCCTTTGACACTTAAAATGATATAATGCAAATTTAAGCAGCTTGTATTTATATTTTCAATAACAAAAAGTTTTATATAATAAATATTAAAAAAAAGAAGGAATATTATGCTTAACCTTTCAAAAATAACCTAGTTTTTCGTAATCAAAATTTCACAATCGTTTTTTAGGCATTAAAAAATATTTGTGTTGGTGTCCTAAGGGAGAAAGCAATAGTTCTAGACGTCTTCCCTAATATCCCACACCACTAGTATGTGAA